TATTTATTACAATGTTTCGGCCCTTCAGTATCTGTCTATATTTCTGAGATGACGTATTATGTACACTATTTATATAATTCGGACGATTGTCCTCATCTTTGTCGCCATATTTATTACAATGTTTCGGCCTTTTAGTATCTGTCTATATTTCTGACATGACGTATTATGTACACTATTTACATAATTCGGACGATTGTCCTCATCTTTGTCGCCATATTTATTACAATGTTTCGGCCCTTCAGTATCTGTCTATATTGCTGAGATGAGGCATTATGCACAATATTTATATTATTCGGACTGTTGTCCTCATCTTTGTCGCCATATTTATTACAATGTTTCGGCCCTTCTATCTGTCTATATTGCTGAGATGAGGCATTATTAATATTTATATTATTCGGACTGTTGTCCCCATCTTTGTCGCCATTTTATTACAATGTTTTGGACCCTTCAGTATCTGTCTATATTTCTGAGATGAGGCATTATGTACAAATATTTATATTATTCGGACTGTTGTCCTCATCTTTGTCGCCATATTTATTACAATGTTTCGGCCCCTTCAGTATCTGTCTATATTGCTGAGATGAGGCATTATATTTTTATATTATTCGACTGATCTTTGTCGCCATATTTATTACAATGTTTCACCCTTCAGTTCTACTATATTTCTGAGATGACGATTATGTACACTATTTATATAATTCGGACGATTGTCCTCATCTTTGTCGCCATATTTATTACAATGTTTCGGCCCTTCAGTATCTGTCTATATTTTTGACGATTATGACACTATTTACATAATTCGGACGATTGTCTTAATCTTTGTCGCCATATTTATTACAATGTTTCGGCCCTTCAGTATCTGTCTATATTTTTTAGATGAGGTATTATCTACACTACTTACATTATTCGGACGGTTGTCCTTATCTTTGTCGCAGTTTGTAGAACTAGAACAGTCTACCCCACTGAGAGAAATAAACGGTTTTCGACAGTCCAACCACCTGAAGAAGACCGGAGCGTACAACGCCCGAAACGTTGTAATAAATATGGCGACGAAGATGAGGAAAATAATCCAAATAAATGTAAATATTGTCTCCTTTAGCTTATGATTATTTACCCACTACCCTACGCAGCAAGATGTGGCACAAGGCCGAGTTTAAAGTGGAGTATTCGAGCCCGTAGGCTCGGGCAAAAATTCCCTATAAACCACGTAAAAACGGAGTCAGTTTCCCGAGACGAGACTCTACTCTTCAGCGGAGAGCTTATGTACAAGAAAGTCATTTTGGATTTACTCCATTTTTTAAAAATATGTTCTTGGTCGCATGCTTTGATCTTGCTGTACTAGTATAAACGCCTGTGATTCTTGTTTCAATCCAAGACTGCAACCACTGATCGATCATATTTTTTGCAGATATCAGAGTTTAGTGATTGCAATGGCTACCAACTATATACGTTGTTTCTTCCCATTTGATCTTCAGGTTGTTTAGTCGCATAAATTTTGCATTTTTAAAAATAAATTTGCCTCTTTTTGATAGTATTCTATTTCACCTTGATGTTTTTCTTGTAAACCTTGTTTAAATTTTAGACTTTATTTTAATTATTAATTGTAACTTTATAGTTGTTTAAGCTCTAAACATGTGTAGTGTATGTCTCACCACAGATCATATCAAAATACAATTTGCATGCCATATTATATGAAGCTAGATGCAGGATTTATCAAAGGTGACCTTTTGGCTGGTGAGCGGAGAATTACATGACCTTACAGCTTCACCTGGATTGCAAGAGTGGGAAAGAATCTTATTTACAGAAATTTATATAAACAACCGCCCTAGAAAAAAGTTGGGTAGTCTTTCAGAGATCACAGATTCGAATATAAGGTCCCCATTTCGAAGTTGAGTAAAGTGTAAGGTTTTGTAAAAGAGATTAAATCTTCTGTTCTCATGACGACAAATTCAGTACGTAAGATATAATGGGCAGTTCTGTATTATATCTTGCTATCATTCAAGCCCTATGGCTGTGGATTTTTTATATGAATTCTAATTGGATCAGTGTTCTATCTCCAGCTGCGTTAAGTAGGCACAAACGATCCAAATCTCCTTTGGGAAAATGCATTTTATATATGCCTAGAAGTTTTGTTTTTTTAATCTTCTTCAATATTTCACTTTATCTCATGAAAAGAATATGTAACATTAGTTAAATTTATTTTGTATTTTTAGTCCAGTTTTTTGTCGTTTTGTTTCATAGCTCCATATTGAATCCTTCACCGTTTTATTAATTCAACGATGTTTGTGCACCTCTTTCTTATTCAGCCAACGAATGAAGATTTCATTATCAAAGTTTATACTGTAATTATTTCAGTTTTTCAAAATTTCCCTTAACACATTTATCTAGACTAAATTCTATGGCGATAGCTTCAATGAAATTCTTTAGTTCATTAGCAATATTAGAAAATAGTTTAAAACCGTCTATTTTGAACTTGTGGTTAAGAATTTTGTTAAATATGTGATATTCTTACCCGTGTAGATTTAGTTCATTTAAGGAGGTGGTGCTAAGGCAATACAAAATAAAAGCGGTTAAAAGGAGTCACACTGAAATATTCTATTATCGATCTGTAAGTTATCACATCGAATACTTACCATTAAAATGGTTGACGATTAAAGTTATATTTTTCATCTTTTCCTTTTAGAAAGCGGGACAATAGCCTAGCGTTGGTTCCTGGAAACATAGTAATTGTGAGTTCAATCCCTGAACTAGGCAGTGTGTACTAAGGGGAATCAGTGCGAGAAATAACTGATTACTCGTGTAGAAGCCATCTTCTTGTTGGGTGCGACGCCTGAATTTTTTGCATGGTTTTTAAACACTTGAAAGAAATTAACTTTGTACATTGTGACCCCTTATTTTGGCGTAAAACCAATAATAAAAACCTTGGTCTATACTCGAGCACAAGCAGTAGTAGTAAGCGAAGACAATTCGAAATATATTTAGATATAGTCAACGGAATGAGAGTAATCGACTCTTGTAGATTAAATAAAGGATTCAGCTTTTATTTTCTCTGAAGGCTACTCGAATCGACCAGTACCTGATCAAGTTCAGAGGCCACAAGCGCCGAAAATTTCTGATAATAACAATAAAGATGAGGATAATAGACCGAATTGAGAACATTCAGAAGAGCGGGAGAAATTTTAATTAATACTTGTGACTTTGTTTCAGTCACGCGAGAAGCTAAAATACATTTATTTATTACTAGCAGCATGGCCCGGCGTTGCCCGTGCTTGATTAAAAAATAGTACGACTCATACAGCAATCGCTATCACTTGACTTAAAATATTTTTGCCCTTCCTTGCCTTTAAAGAAGTGCCCTTTGCCGTGCTGATGTTGCTACATGTCTTACTTCTTGCCTATATCACACTGCAAATTTTTTCTAAGGTCTATACTAAACATTAAATCTGTTACGAAAAAAGAACTAAACAAAATAAACACAAAACGATCAGCATTAAAAAAGGACTCGTAACTGGAAAAACCGAATGAAAAAAGAATGTTAACAACAAATACTTTTTCACACCCAACCCACTTCTGCGGAATCAGAATCAACGTTGAGTTTAAGCAAGCAAATGAGCCAATTGGAGTAAAGTGCCATGCAGATTTAAATTTTTCCCACTTTTGACGAATGCAGCTATCGATTTTTTTTGCATGCTAGTTAACATACGTGTCAGTCAGCTGTTGGCTCTCACGCTGGCCAATAGAATCTTCCTGCCTATTCGTGGCAGCCAGCTATAAGCTCTCACTCTGGCCAGTAGAAAATGGCCGCAAACTACATGAAAACTGCCGTAGAAGCATGAAAAAATCGATTATTTCCACTATCGATGGGAGTTGGGAAATGCAATGTCAGTCTTGGCCTTACCGCTAACTTGGAGCATGTGCATGTAAATTTTGGTGCAAATCCGTCGAAAATTGCGGCCGTGCATTCGTTACACACACACACACAACACACACACACACACACATCCTGCCTTTTATAGATAGAGATTGTTATTTCACTTTACTTCTTATATTTCGAACAGCAGTTTCCCCAGAAACAATTTGTTGATCAACAACTGATCTTTTCCAGACATAGAATATTTTTCTATCCATTTTTGTATTTCAGGGATAAACTTATTAGTTTAAAGGGTTTTATACATTGTTTAATTTAAAATCAATGTGAATGCTATGTATGCTGCAGAAAAATGTGATTGGTAGGTCATTTTTGGGTTGGCAGTGTGATCAGTAAGGGGTATTATTAAGTAATGCCTTGGGTTAGCCATTCTGGGTTTTTGCCTTTTGAGATATTGGTAACATCAGAAAGGAAATTTGCTAATGGTTTTTGCATAGACAGAAAAGCTTTTAACCAGGAGAAGCTATCTTATCAATCTCTTGGGATTTCAATTTTTTATCTTTTGTGAACTGGCATTTCTTTAACGTCTATGTTGTTCAAACTCTGTTCATCTTTTTCACCGGTTATGCAGTGTCTATTTTGTTTCATTTCTATTCATTTTTTTTTCTACCGGTTCCTGTACTATCACCGAAGTTATGCAACGTCTATATTGTTCCATTACTGTTATATCACTGTACGATTACTGACCTTAAGCAACGTCTTTTTTATTCCATCACTATTCATCTTTTTCACGGTTTTCCCGTACGATCACAGAAGTTATGTAACGACTATGTTGTCCTATCTCTGTTCATTTTTTTCACCGATTCCCGTATGATCAACGAAGTTAAGCAACGTCTATTTTGTTTCGTCTCTGTTCAATTTTTTCACCGATTCCCGTACGATCACCGAAGTTAAACAACGTCTATGTTATTTCATTTATGTTTTTTTTTATAAATCCCTTCCTTATATTTAATTCAATGACTATTTCACATCTTCCTGTAATCTTCTATACGCAACGTTCTTTCGGGACATGGACCGTCATGACTCTCGACATTTTAGGTTTGTCTTTTTGTTCTTCCCATTCTCTGTAGCCTTACGGTCACATCACGTTGAAACACTAGTTCTCTTACGATCATCGCAGTTAAGCAACGTCGAGCCTGGTCATTACCTAGATCGGTGGCCATTTGGGAATAAGAGGATGTGTAGGTGGTGTAATAGATAATGATTCGAAATTGGTAATCGGAGAACCGAGTTCTGGTTTCAATCGGGTTCGTTATATTACGTGCAAATACCATTGGGAAAGATATAGATCCACCTCTTCTTCCCCATCTATGGGTTAATTAGTAAACCTTGTATGACTACAATTTCTATATATAAAAAAATCTTAAAATCGAAAAAATATTTTGTAGCTTCAAATAACCTGCAATGGGTTGAGAAGACGTAGAAAACCAACAAGTTCTTCTTTCTTCTGCCATTCATTTACACAAACTCGTTATATGGGTCACTCACTCTTTCTCCTCGGTCCCACTTAACTTTAATACGCCCTGTGAGTGTCGAATTTTCCAAACCCTTTCTTGTCATAAGTACAACTTCTCTTTCTGATTTTAACTAGTACATTTTATTCCCATTTGTCTTAAAACTTCCATGTCCAGTCTATTGTATACTTGGCATTCTTCTGCAGGGCCTCAACACTGTTGGTTCAAGTCTCTCTCTCATCAGTGAGGCTAATCGCCAGTATTCTCTGCCATATCTATTTTTGTGAAAATTCTGCCCGCTAATAATAAATACTGGAGGGATTTCTTCTTTTCTCAGAAAAAAAAACAAAACTCTTTTTTCTTCTTCTTTTATGTGCCGTGTCCCTGCAGGACATAGGCGATCATGGCCCTCCACATCCTCCTGTTCCTTGCAGTTTTGTCTTCATATCACGCATTGCATTCTTTTGTTCCTCTTTCGCTCTATACGTCCTGTGAGTATCAGATTTTCGAAGCCCTCCTTCCTCATTACACGTCATAGAAATTTCAGCTACATCTTCCTCATGTTAAGTATAAGTTTTCGCTTTGTTTCCACCCTCTTTAAAACCTCCTCGTTGTTCACATGACATCCTAAGCATCCTTCTGTAGAACTACATTTCTGTTGATCTTCTTCATCTTTGAGGAGACTGTTCAACATTCGCTGCTATAAAGGATCACAGATATCATTTAATAGTTCAGTACTATTTATTTTGTTTCTAACAAAAACTTTCCTGTCTCATAATACTCTGCTTATCTTTTTGGAATGCGTCTTTGTCCATCTCAATACATCTTCGGATCTCAGTGTCGCACTTTCCGTCCTTCATTAGAACACTTCCCAGATATTTAAAATTCTGTATCTGCATGATTTTAGGATCCCCGACCTGTAAACTTCATTTTGGGATAATCTTTTTCCTGATGACGAAGCATTCTGTCTTCTTATAGTTTATGCTTAGTCTCTTCTCATTCTCTTTCGCTAATTTCTGTAGGAAGTTTTGTAGTTTCCTTTCTGTGTCTGCTATCAGCATTGTCTTCTGCATATCTTATATTATTAAGATTGTGGCCGCCAATGATGAATCCTGGTACGATTTCTAGTTCCCTCAGTATTTCCTCGCTGTATGGGTTAAAGAAGTCCGGTAAGAAGACCCATCGTTGCCTTACACCCCTTTCTATTTTTGTATATCTGCTGAATTCGATTTTATACGTATACAGACGATTTGCTGTCAGTATAAATTCTTTATTATTTTAATGACTTTCCTGTATATGTCAAGGTTGCTGAGCATCTCTACCATCTTTGGGGCATACTTTGTCGAACACCTTTGCGTAGTCTATGAAACACAGGTAAACGTCCTTCTGTATTTGTATTGATCTTTCTGATAATATTCTGAACGTGAATATCGTGTTTCTTGTTCTGATGTCTTTAACGAACCGTATTATCTTGTCCTATCTCTGGCCTGATTCTGCTGTGGGCTCTGTTCATCAGAATTCAGATGATGAGTTTTGTCATGTGACTCAGTAGGCTAAATGTTCGGTGTAATTCACATTCGTTTGCGCCTAGTTTCTTAGCCAGTGCTATGAAAATAGATTTGCTTAGATCTTCCGGTATATCTCCACTGTTGTAGATTTCATTTATTATTTCTGTAAACTTGTCTATGCCGAAATCATCTAAGCCTGCCAAAATCTCTGTTACAATTCCGTCTAGCCCCGCCCCTTTGTTTCTGTTCCATTTGGCCAGTGCAGCTTTCTCTACTGTTTTTAGTATTTCCAACGAGTCGGTAGTTTTGTGTATTGCCGGGTGTTCTCTTTCATCGTGGAAGAGCTCTCCAATATATTCTTTCCCGCACTGAAGAATTTTTTCTTTCTCTAATATGACAGTTCCACCATTTATGCAGCCTCTTGATGAGCAAGTCTTCCGTCCTGCTAGTTATCTTATTTATTATGCATATCTCCTTTATCTATGATGCACATTATCTCTCTTCCTGCATATTTTTCGTTGAGCCATTATTCTTCAGCCTGTCCTGCATGTGTTCCTTATTTCATTGTGTAGTTTTCTTTATTCCGTACCATGTCTTGGCATTGTTTTCTGTCTCCTTTGCATCGTATCGAGAATCTTATCTGTGATCCATTCTTTTTTTCTTCTTCCATTCTCCTTTAGGATGATGTCGTTTGTTGATGTCACTAAAGCTTCCTTTAGTGTGTCCTATTTAGAGTTTTCATTTCCATTTCCCCACTCGTATCTTCTTTTCACACTGTCTTTATATTTTCCCTTCAGGCTCGAGTCGTTCGGGAATCTGTTGTATTGCAATTTGGGTTCTGTGAAAGGCTTCTACAGTTTCCGTAGTTTCATTTTTAGTTTACATATAACAAGGAGGTAGTCGCCTCTGCAGTCGGCACTTGGATAGGTTTTGCAGTGAACAATTGCATTCCTGAATATTTTCTTAATCGTTATATAATTCAATTTGTTTTTTAGTTTTTCCTCCTGGGTTTCCCCGCGTCCATAATCGTCTTGGATGTTCTTGGAACCAGGTGTTGGTTATTAGCCGTGCACCATTGGACCCGTTTTTTTCCGCGTTCGTTGCGGGTTCCTAGTCCGAATTTGCCAGCTACCTCCCATTCCCTCTCCTTACCTACTTTGGTATTCAGGTCTCTCATGATAATTATGACTTCTTGTGATTTGCAGTGAACCTTGGCGTTGACTAACATTCGATTTCTTCTTTCGTGCTTTGTGCTGTCGGTGCATACACTATCATAAAATAAATGTTAAAAGGCTTTTAATTCAGTTTAACTAATCTTACTTTTCACTTAAAATGTTAATATGCAAATATAGGAATACCTCGACCTAGGTCGTTAATTAGTTTCAAAGGTCACGAAATTGCCTCCCCATTGTCTATTACAGTATTTGTGATATGTACGTATATTATTCTGAATAAAATAATTAATTACAACCTTATCTTCTAGCGATATAGCCTTAGGCTTAGCTTTAGCACTTGCACTGAGATTTTTCCTCGGAGCCATGGGCAAAAATGTATTCTAAATCAGAAATGAAATGTCATTGAAAGAACGTCAACGGCAGAGCACTGATGTAAATAAGTTTGAATTTAAAATCGGTGTCGTATCGTAGCGGAAAACAAGGCACAAGTGCCATTTGTCGGCAGGAATTTCAAATAAGAACATCTGCTGAACATATTTTATTAAGCTAAATTTTTGTTTCTGATGATTTTACGGTCTCTCTCTCTCTCTCTCTCTCTCTATATATATATATATATATATATATATATATATATATATATATATATATATATATATATACTACTAGCTTACTCTGAAGATCCGTTTATGTGAAATCTAGGTATGTTGTTCCTGGCTCTTTAGGATTTATTTCATAATAAAACATAAAACCACGTGACCCCCCCAAAAAAAAGGAAATGAAAAAAATAGAAAACCCAAAGTACTATTCTAATTACCAGTCTCTCCTATGCTTACACCTATTAAGTATCTTGGACTTTTTATTTAATAAATTCTTAAGTTTCTTATAGATGACGATTGCTAATTTTGTCTTCCATACAATAACCAACAAAACTTGTCATCTGCCTTATATTCATGGCATATTTTTTAATATTTCTCATTTCAAAATGGGGTCACTATTATCTTCTTGCTTTATATTCCATATGTAAGTGAATAAGCTGGTACTATATCTATAGGTTTCGTGATTAAAACTACTTAGATGATTATAATAACGTTTTTTTTTAAGCTACCTTGGGTAGATCCAATGTAAATTTGAGGGTTCTTGTCTGTGTTATACGGTTTATTTCTATGTATCTCTACTTTATAAACCCCGCCCTCCTGTTGGCATCTGCCCTCAAATGAACAGGCATCCTTATTTCTACAGTTACACTTAGAGGGGTTGGGGTGTGGTTTGTCTATAAATTTTTTCCTGTTGTACTTACCAATTAAGTTAGTCATATTTGACATGCAACTATAACTTAATTTAACGTTTTTGTTATTGAAAATTTTATACGATACATTAGTCGGGGGAAAATTCTTTTTTAATAATAAAAAACTGTTTTCCTAGTTTAGTTTTAACTGCTAGATTATATGAGGAACTTTAAAATCTCATCCACTGTTTTTTTTTTCGTAAAAGATGGGTAATATTCCTTTATGTCGTATTTCACAAAAGAACATTCCCTATTTTTTATGATAACCGTTAAACCATTCTATACAACGACGAGTGGCGTGCCATTGGTTAATGTTTAAAACTGCAGTTAATGATTCACATATATTTTGCAATATTACTTTACTAATTTTACCCATTTGTGCTTTAGTAGGGTTGACTAACCGACATTCGGGGTTACTATGGAAACCATTTTTATGATGTTAGTACCTGCCATAGAGCGAATGTTCTTTAAATTTCTTGAATATCCACAAAATAGCTTTTCAACTAGTAGAACAAAATCTGCTAAGAAAGTTGGTTCACTGTGTGGTACTAGACAATTTTTATTTCCCTGATCTATCTTACATATTTATAAGTCTACCATTCGTATATGGTTTGAATATTGCGCGACACATATGGTCCTGCTATATATTTAGAGATTCTTGATAAAATCCAAAGGAGAATTAGTAAGATTATTGGTCCTGACCTGGCATCTCGGCTTCAGTCACTTTCCCACCGTAATGTTGTTTCATTGTATCTT